TGCTGCTGATCTGTTTCATGTTGCTGCTGATCTGTTTCATGTTGCTGCTGATCTGTTTCATGTTGCTATGACTGCTTAGCATATATTTAGTTGATGTTTTTCTTAGTTCATATCTTAGATGTTATTACTGTTTTTCTTATACATTTTATTGTTGGATGTAACTGGGACCCTGTGTACATAATTTCACTCCACCACATGTACCACATGAGGTGCGAATGACAATAAAGAATCTCTGACTCTGACACAGAACATCCTGAACTTGCGTACAAGTATGTTGGCTTGTGCATACAATAAACGACGTTGTCTGTAAATGTCCGTATCATCAGTTATATAATGCCCCAGATATTCAACAGCAGCACACACTTTAAGAACAGCCCCAGATAAAGAGAAGTCAGGAAGTACCAGCTTCTGATCCTCCCTGGTTCTTATGATCATGATATTACTTTCAGTGCATTGTACATCATGTCATACTCCTGACCATACTGTGAGCAGCTCCTCAGTAACTGTTGAAGACCAGCACTACAAGGACTACAAATAACCAGATCATCTGCATACATGTGATGGTTAATTATGGTCCCACCAACAGCACACCCTGTCCCACAGTTTGTAGCCACTTTGATAAATCATACATGTATACATTAAAAAGAAGAGGTTACCCTTGAACAGCATCCTAGAAACAATACAAACTTGTTTTAACTGGCCGGCCGTGACGTTGTGCTCTGAAATATAAACGAAGTTCAGACAATTGTTGTTAAAACTACAAAAAATCTGTAAAATTGGAAATTGGCCGATACATGAGAAACCAATCTCCCAAAATTAAGGAAATCGGGGCCGATTTATCAGCGTACCCCTAGTGTCTTGTCTTTTATTTTTCAGTCAGTCCATCCATTATCTTTTACTCGCTTCTTCCTTTTTGGGTCACAGGTGTCACGGGTGCCCGTCTTCAGCAGTCTCTGTTTGAGAGGTGGGGGACACCCTGGACAGGTCTCGTGTCCATCACAGAGACACAAAGACAAGAGGAACAACCATTCACTCTCTCTCTCTCACCTAGAGACAGTTCAGAGTCACCAGTCAGTCTAACATGCATGTTTTTAGTCTGTGGGAGGAAAACCACATGTACATGGAGAGAACATGCAGACTCCACCCAGAACGACCCCAGGCCGGAAGACAAAGACATTCTTGCTTAGAAGCAATCGTTCTAACCACTGCACCACCATGCCACCCCCTTTTTTAATATTAAAAATATAAAATAAAGTAAAAAATACAATTAACATGTTTTTCTAATTTACTGTTAAAATATTTCCAAAGAAAAACAAAATTACTTTCCTCAATAAATCTTAAACAGTCAAAACAAACAAAAGTTAATATAAATTGTTGAAACAATAATTCTATTAGTTTATATCATCTTTTTCATCACTTTTTACAGTTTCTGTTGAGGACATTTTACCACAGGCAGCTGGTTTGGAGAGCATGCTCGGGGTGCTCTCTGAACAGATTTGGTGTCACGTCAAAGTTTGAGTGACTGTAGAGGTTAAAACTTAAATTTCTCAGTTTAAAAGTGTGAGTTTGACTTTAGGTCTGTTCAGTTTGTAATACACCACAGAGTCTTCATTTCTGCACAAACCTGTGGAGTTTACAGGAGAGCAGAAGGGTTGGGGGGGGGGCATCACAACATGCCACAGGAAAAACTAAACTATTAGTTAGTTACAATTAGTAAACTATTAGTTATTATTATTAAACTGCAATAATAAAAGAAACATGTGGCACGTCAAAATCGAAACTAAAATCAGTGGGGCTGTTGACCACCCCGCACCACAGCTAACTGTGATGCGCATTAGGTTTAGTTTTATGTTTATAAGTTTTAAATAGGTTTAGAGATTAATATTTTTTGCTTTTTGTTTGTGAAACAAGGTCAGAGGAAGCTGGTTCTGGTTTGATCGATTGGACCCGGTGTTACACCATATTCTGTGTCCTGCAACAGTGCATGCAACACCGCCCCCTACAGTCACAATATATGGTGGTTACAGAATATGGTGTAACACCGGTTCACAACGAGCTCCAAACAGTCAGGAAGTTGATTCATTTTCTGTTTCCTTACGGTAGTTGAACAGTAAGATTCATCTTTAGTGAAATATTTACACAATACTGATGCATTTCTACCTGTTTGTCAAGACTGGGCCTGCTCTGCTCCATCCGTCTGCTTGGAGGAGTCCATTTTGTAACCTGCGCCCGGTGCGGATCACGTGCCGCAATGACGTAACGGTGACGTAATGACATCACCACAAATACTCAACGTGAAATTTAAAAACTCAATAGATGTCCTAGGAATCGACGTGTCGATTACTCGAGTAGTCTCTTAAAGCTCTAATATCCATTTGTCCATCCATTTTCTTTTTCCCGCTTCTTGCATTTTGGGTCACGGGGGTCGCCGGTGCCCATGTCCAGCATTCACTGTGCGAGGGGCGGGGGACATCTGGACGGGTCACAAGTCCATTACAGGGCCACATAGAGACAAACGAGACAAACAACCATTCTATTTAGATATATCTACTAGCACATTTAGCTACATCTATTAGCATATTTAGCTACATCTATTAGCGTATTTAGCTATATATATTAGCGTATTTAACCATATATACTAGCATATTTAGCTACTTATACTAGCATATTTAGCTACATATACTAGCATATTTAGCTACTAATACTAGCATATTTATCAACATATACTAGCATATTTAGCTCCATCTACTAGCATGTTCAATTCAATTCAAAAATGCTTTATTAATCGCTGAGGGAAATTAAATGTTTTTGTAGCTCATTCTCTTGGTTTCATTAGATGGTTATGGCTGTGGGCATCACCATCTAGGCTCTCTTGTGGTGGTCCGTCTTCTAGTGGATCTGAAGAAACTGACCACAGATGTTGATCCATTTACTTGGACTTGGTGTGCCTCTCGGTCCTCCTGGGCAGCAGGACCACCTGAATGTTTGGCAGAACTCCTCTCAGAGCGATGGTCACTCCTCTCAGGAGCTTGTTGAGCTCCTCGTCATTTTGAACAGCCAACTGCAGGTTTCGGGGGATGATCCTGGTCTTATTGTTGTCATGAGCCATGTTTCCTGCCAGCTCCGGTATTTTGGTGGTTAGGTATTCGAACACCGCCACCATGTAGACGAAGATTCATCCACGGCACCTCCTTTACAACTCATTTGGGATTTGGGGCTGTAGTTGAGTTAATATTTGAGCTTTGTGATGTTAAGCAGCTGTTCACAGATGTAAAAAACACCTGGTTGCCATGGTTATGCATCAAAACAAATGTCCAAAAGTAAAAAGGTTTCAGTAAAAATACTTCCAGCTACAAAGCATCTGATACCAGAGGAAATTATCATCCAAAAAAAGCGATTTACATCCAGAAAAAGAGGAATTAAAGTTTTCAAAAGCAAAATCTCAGAATGAAAGTAACAGAGCTTCTCCAACATGCAGCCACCTTGAGCGGCGCAATTCTAGAATTGAATATTTAGCTACATCTACTAGCATATTTAGTTGCACCAACTAGCATATTTAGCGGCATCTACTAGCATATTTAGTTGCATCTACTAGCATATTTAGAGTCAGAGTCAGAGTCAGAGTTTCTTTATTGTCATTCGCACCTCATGTGGTACATGTGGTGGATCGAAATTATGTACACAGGGTCCCAGTTACATCCAA